GCACAGGACAAGCAAGGCAGCCGCACACTGGTCCGATGATCAAAGAGCGAGAGACAAGAAAGGCGAGACTCATCAAGGCATTTATCTCTCTGCCCTTCAGTTAATCCCATTTGTGTTTATTGGCCAGGCTGGCACAATAAACTATCTCAGTACCCAATTACTACCACCATTGACCAATTCTGGCGGGGTCCAAAATAGTTAGTCCCAGATAAAATATGATAAAGTATAAAGAATTCAATTTTTTATTTTAAAAAAATGCAGTAGAGGATAGCAGATCCCTCCCATCATTGACTACTGCCCTGAGATACTCATTAAACCTAGACCTAGTATATTCCCTGAGATCACCTTTAAGTGAAATTGCAGTAACACACAATATATATACCCACTGCTCACTATTGAAAAAGTTCTAAATACCAAGTCATCATTGTGAAAGTTGGCATTCTGCAAAAATGGTGAATCATTACATCAGGTCACAAAATGGAGAATAACAATATTGTAATACAATTGTCACATTATTACAAAACTTCCAAATCACTGAGAATTCTGGCCCTGCCAAGTTGACACACAATTCATAACCTTTATCATCATTGCCAGGGCATTGTTCTTGCCTCACACGTTGGCATTCACTACTATACACATGCATTGTTTTTGTGTTCTTTTTTTTAATTTTTAAGCATTTTATTGAGACATGCATTGCTAATGTACAAAATAGTGAAATAGCAGATTTTTCATAATTGTCATAAATGTGAGATAATGAGAGTTAGTAAGGAGTGGGCATACCTGTAAGATTGGTACTCAAACCTTCAGTATGAGATCAAAAAGCTATACATTTCTGAAAAGCAAAGATGTTAAAAAATAAGGAGACAGATAATTAAGGTACTATAAAGGAAAAGAAAAAAATTTTAAGAAAATAATGGTGCATCATGAATCATTGGGCAATTTAAGAATGCAAAGTTGTCAAATGAAACCTAACTTGCTGTGTAAACATTCATAAAAAGACAACAACAAGCATTTTTTAAAGAGACCTTTAACAAGTTAGCAGATGAGTGATGGGCTAAGATAGATGTCAAAACACTCGGTGAGCACCAAGCCACCACGAAGCAGAAGCGGAAGACAAGGACCCTCCTCCATACCTAACAAAGATTCCCCATAGAGTTGGTACCATGAATTCATACTTCTCACCTCAAGTAGAGAAATAATACTGCTTTCACAAAATCATTCCCTTGTAGTAGCTTTGCTGTAGCAGCAACAGATAGCTAAGACACACCTCCAGTGTGTGTACGAGTTGCTAAAGCAATCCATCTTAGATTCTCTGATTATTAGAGAGGTGTTCCTTCACTGACTTAAGAGAAACCAGTAGATTACACTCTATTTGCACCCAAAACGCCTGGCTTTGCACTTTGGAGTGCAAAATGTTGAGTGCAGTGAAGTAAAATTACTTGGTATGACTCTTCCTTTTTTTGCTTTAATCATTTTATTGGGGGCTCTTACAACTCTTATCACAATACATCAATTGTATAAAGCGCATTTGTACATTCATTACCCTCATCATTCTCAAAACATTTCCTCTCCACTTAAGCCCCCAGCATTAGGTCCTCATTTTTCCCTTCCCTCCCCGCTCCCCACTCCCTCATGAGCCCTTGATAATTTATAAATTAGTATTTTGTCATATCTTGCCCTGTCCGATGTCTCCTTTGACCCACTTTTCTGTTGTCCGTCTCCCAGAGAGGAGGTTATATGTAGACCCTGTAATCGGTTCCCCTCTTTTACCCCACCCTACCAGTATCGCCACTCTCACCATTGGTCCTGAAGGGATCATCTGTCCTGGATTCCCTGTGCTTCCAGTACCTGTCTATACCAGTGTACATCCTCTGGTCTAGCCAGATTTATAAGGTAGAATTGGGATCATGATAGTGGGGCTGGTCGGAGAGGAAGCATTTAGGAACAAAAAAAAAAAAACACAACAAAAAAGAAAAGCTTGTTCAAGGTCCATTTGTGGCCTTTAGGAGTGTTTTCCGGTCTAGTCTGATGGAGTGCCAACCCCTGACCCCAAAGTCTATTTTTGGTATTTCCTGAGGACTTCATTGCTCTGTTCCCCTTGTTGTTCTGTTGCATGCCCTTAGTGTTTCACCTCAGTGCGGTGGGATCAGACTGGGTAGAATTCCCACACTGTGTCTCCAGTGTTGTCCCCTGCAGGGCTATGGGTCAGTGAGGGATGTCGTGTCTCATAGTGGGGCCGGCCATATGATCTTCTCTGTGGATTGGCTGCTCAAGGCTGGTGGGCCAGGACGTGCTCCACTCTCTCTTCCACCCCCTTCATTTGCTCCCAAGTGCTCTGATCAGGCATGTCTCTCTCCCTGAGCTGCAACTTCAATGCTGTCCTCAAATAAATTCTTCTGGGGTGAGGGGCAGGTGTCCACGTAGTTGGGGTTGGGGCTGGCCCTTCAGACCTCTCCACTGGTTCCCTACTCCATGCCGGCATGTTGCATTCACATCTTGGAGCACTGGGTTGAAGTCTGGTCCCTCTTTCCCTGTGGAGATATAAACAATGCCCTCCCCTTGGGTGGGTTAGTGCCCTGTTCCCCCACTACCCATTCTTTTTTTTTCCTCTTGCCCCTTCCTTTTTAGTTGGCTACTGTATGTACCCCTGGATTTGGTCTGGCCCCTGCCATACTACCTGGTCCTCACCCCAGGAATGTTTGTATACAGTAGCTTTTTCCCTATTGGTATGCCTCTTCTATGCAGTCTTTGTAACTACCAAATGACTGGGTATCCTGGTGTAAATAAGATGTAGAAGACTGTAAACAAGAGGCCTGGTCAGTTTTGCTGTTTCACTGACCATAAGTGAGCCATGTAGGAGCAGGAAAGGAAATCACATGATCATGAAGAAGAGCTACCAGTAGAGTGTGTGTGAAGTTCCTCTCTGAAGAGGCAGAGACACCAGAAGCTGCAGTGCCAAGACTGTGAAGTACAACATAGGAGCTACACTGAGACCATTAGACCCAGCAGTGGGTTTCCTAGTCTATGGGGCCAGTAAACCTACATGCCTTTTGCAGGTAGCTGGCTTGCAGATTGTGTGCCCTTGGAATACTCATCAGCATTAAAGAGCTTTGCAACACCTGCCACAGGAAAGGAGAGGCAAAGGAGCCTTGTGGCTGAGAGGCTGTGGACCTGCTGGCCCAGCTGAAGAGGTGCTGCAGATGCAAGGATTGCATGCTTAATGTTTTCTGATCCTGGC